TATGAGAATGTAGAGAAGTTTGAATTAAGAGGCTATGACAAGAAACTACCCTGGACTTAGAGACTGTATGTATATTGAATACTATACTGAATGTATATTGAATGTATATTGAAGCTAGATAAGGGGAGAAGGCAAGAATAACCGGGGTTTATTTGAGCATCTGGCTGGCTGGTAATACTGGGGACGGGAGCAAGGACAAAGGCAAAATACATGAGGATTTCAGTTAGGCAACTGGATGATTCCATTAACCAAAAGAGAAATTAAGAGTGGATGGGTCTCATCCACCTCTTTATAATATTTCCTTTTAGGAACACTTGCCCAGACATTGAAGGATGTCTCTGACTTGCTCAACTTCCAATGGACTTTACCCCCAACCAAAAAAAAAAAAAAAAAAAAAAAAAGGGAAAAAGAAAATGCCTTAAGATGGTCCTCTTATTTCACCTGGCACCTCTCTCCACCCTGTATTTCACCTCTAGTCTTGGAAGAGAGAACTTTGCCTCGGGGAGGCCTATAGTTACAATGACTATTTCTGTGTCATAGAAAATCTTCCTCCCTCCAACTCATGACCCACTCACAAGAAGAAAGATTCAAATTAGGTCAACAATAGAGTGAAATTTCTACCAGCAAAAGAATCTGTGATTGGACTTGGCTTGTATGTGCATGTGTGCATGCGTGTGCATCACCCCGGATCCACACACATAGAGAAAAACACAGATACAGAACACACAGCACTTTAGAAAACTCCCTTTGAATCAGTCTTGGCATCACCATGGTAACATGAACAAAAGCCGTCCTCCTAATCATGGAGGGGAAACCTGCGGTTTTGCGATAGGCACCCCTCAGGAGGATTTCAGCCACCCTGGGACCATTTCAGCCTATGACCCTCCAATAACCTCACGGGCTCTGTTTATCTCAGACTCTCTCTAATCTTCGTCCTATCTGTTCTTTCGATCAGCCTTCTCCTAGGACCACGGCACTCCAGCTCTCGTGCTTGGCCGTGGTTCTAATTTCCGGGGGGAAAATGGTTCTCACTAAGGTTCTTTTGACCACTGCAAGTGGGGCCTTTCCTCACTTAGGGGATTGTGGCACAGAAATAAAATAATTCTGCTGGACTTTAAAGTTATTTGAAATTATATGTCATTTTAGAACTAATCTTTAAAAAGAGGCTTCAAAATGCCAGCAACATCCATTTCTCGGGTTACTTATGCATGCACTCATGAAAATGACGTGTCTGTGACCTACAGACTCGAAATACCAAGTCAAAGGTCTGCTACCTGTGTGTGAGGTTGAAGAAAGCCTACTCGGTCCCTGCAAAAGAAAATCAATCTGGCCTTTATTATTTTTTTTGGAAGAATCAGAAATAGCATTCATTAGAGAAACCCACTTTGCTCCAACTCCAAAGGGATTTCAAATTCTCCAAGTGTCTTAAATATTGTATCTCTGGTAATAGTTGTCCTAAGGGAGAGGTCCCTTCTTCCAAATAACATTTAAAAAATCTTCGAAGGCTTCTATCTGCTAAAACTGATATGAAAATTGCATTTTACTTAAGAAATCATCTTTAAGTGCCAAACCGTTTTTTTTTTTTTTCCTTTGTCTTGGATATACAGCATTACCTACAAATGTCATTCTAACCCTTTAAAAATCAATGATTTTCATTTGAGGAGCAGTTGAAACAGAACTTGTTCTAATGAAAAATTTAACAGTGTATTAATTTCAGGGTTTTACAGTGAAGGTAGGCATCTGTGTATTCATACAAACGTATGCACATATATGCTTATATGTACAGGTGCATACGTACACATAATTGTGTGTAAGGATACATGGGTATTATACGGTACAGAGGTAAAGAGGATGGGGTCTGGAATTAAACTGTCATGGTGTGATTTCTGCCTCCCGTGTGACTTCGTGTAAGTTACTTCTCTGCCTCTCAGTTCCATCTGTAAAATGGGAATAAGGATAGCAACTGCGTCATAGACCTGCGTGGTAATTAACAAGTTAATAAACACTTCATGCTTAGAGCCTGCCACATAGTAAGCGCTCAGTAGATATTAGCCAGTTTTATTAGAAGTAGTCTAAATGACCGATATTTTAAAAAATTGACTTCCCTGCAAAGAAAAAACATTTCACTTACCGGTGTGCTTTGCATAGTGTACCAATTAGTAATGGTAATAGGTAGCCTCTTGCTGTCATTTGCTGTGACAGGAGAGCGAGAATAAATGGTGTCCTTCTACTGTGGTATTCTCTGCTTTCACCCCTCTGAGAGTTGAATCTGGTTCCAAGGTTTTCTTTTTCTTTTTAGTATTTATTTATTTTTGAGAAAGAGAGAGAACACAAACAGGGAAGGGGCAGAGAGAGAGGGAGACACAGAATCCGGAGCAGGCTCCAGGCTCCGAGCTGTCAGCACAGAGCCCAACACAGGGCTCAAACCTGTCAACTTGGGGATCATGACCTGAGCTGAAGCACACGCTTAACCAGCTGAGCCAACCAGGCACCCCTGGTTCAAGATTTTCTTTTGCACAGTTAGCCGCTCAGGGGGACATTCCACCCTTAAAGGCTTCAGCTTCTGAAGGAGCAAGTGAAATCAACACAGAGAAACCTGGTGCAGGGCGGTGACTCTTTGGAATTGTTGGCAGTGGTCCGGATGGTGGTGTTTGACCCTGTTTTGAAAATTCTTTTCGTTGTTGGTGTCACCAGAAAGAATGTAGAGATTCTAGAATGGATACGTATGATTCAAGCAGGGTTGGAATTTCAGAAAAGGCTCTCTCCCGGGAAGATGATTTGTAGGGGTGCTTGTTTTGAACTTCAGAGTAAGTGGTGGTTGATGATGACAGGGGTTGCGGTGGTGAGCCTTTCTTCAGTTTATTAGTATCTCGGAAGTTACACACATACCGCTAATCTTAACAAAATCTGGACTCGGGAAAAGGTAATGGAATGAAATAAAGTTAAGAAAGAGGGAGTGGCTCCTGTACCTTGAGCTCTCCCTCTGGGTCGAGGACTGGCCTCAGCACGTCCCTTCCCTACAGAACCACCCGGGGAGGGCCCAAGGAGGCCTCTGGTAGCCTGAGGTTCAGTCCACATTTCTACTGTTGGGTTTTTAGACAGCTTTGAAATAACACTGTTCTCTGGCCATGTAGAGAGTGCTCTTCCGCTCATTTTTAATAGACTTTATATTTAGAAAGCTTTTTTTTTTAACAGACAAATGGAACAGATAGAACAGAGGGTTCTGATATACCAGGTGCCAAGTCTCCCATTTGCTAATATTTTAATTAGTATGGTGCATTTGTTACAGCTAATGAATCAATATTGATGTATTGTAATTAACTAAAGTCCGTACTCTATTCCTATTGTCTTAGTTTTTACTAATGTCTCGCTCTGCCTTTTTTTAAAAGTTTATTTCTTTCTCTTAGAGAGGGGGAGGGTGCAGAGAGAGAGAGAGAGAGAGAGGGAGAAAGAATCCCAAGCAGGCTCTGCACTGTCAATATCACGAACCATGAGGTCGTGACCTGAGCCAAAATCAAGAGTCGGATGCTTAACGGAGCCACCCAGGCACCCCTGTCTTTTTTTTTTTTTTTTCTTAACCTAATGTCTTTACTTTATTCAGATTGTCTTCGTTTTACCTAAAGCTCCAGGACAGCAGATGACATTTAGTTACATATCTCTTTAGGTTCCTCTTGGCCCCACTTTTCCATATAGCGCTTTTCAGAGGGAACCCCCTGTATACAGCCCACATTTAAGGAGTGGGGAGTCCTGCTCTCCCTCCTTGAGGGCAGAATGTCTACATAAATTATTTGGAGTCCTTCTTCATGGGAGAATTGTAAAGTCATTTTTCAAGTGAGTCTGTACGAGAAAATTGGCCAAAGAGAAAATTATGCTCAACAGATGTGTAGAGACGAAGAGGAAGTATTGAAAATAACAAAGAAAAAAAGAAGTCTGAGGAACATTTTTCATCTATTTATAAAATCTACTGAATGATCAGGCAAGGGCTTAGAAATATGTCCAAAAATGTTAATTGCTTATAATACCTAAAAACAGAAAGCAAGTAAAATATCCAAAAAATCATGGTATAATCATATAGCTGTAAGTCAAAACCATTTTTATATGTGTATATATAAAATTTATTGGCATAGAAACAATCTGCTGGTAAATTAATTATATATAATATGAGTACCCTCATGTAAGTACACACACCTAAATGCTTAAATGGGTATACACGTGTATAAAAATATACTTACGATCTAAGTATATTATATACGTGTGTGTGTGTGTGTGTGTGTGTGTGTGTGTGTAAACATCTGCAAGGCTAGCTTATACCAAAAAAAAAAAAAAATCATTATCTCCAGCTGGTAGGCTTATATGTCATTTAGAATATTCCTTTTTTTTTAGAGTTCATTTACTTACTTACTTATTTGAAAGAGAGAGAAAAGAGAGAGAATCCCAAGCAGGCTCCACGCTGTCTGCATGGAGCCCAACCCAGGGTTCAATCCACGAACCATGAGATCATGACCTAAGCTGAAACCAAGAGTTGGACGCTCAACCAACTGAGTCACTGAGGCACCCCTAGAATATTCCTTTTTAATACCTGTACATACTTTCTATTTTCTTCAATATTTTTTATTCTCCCAGTAAAACCTGAAAATTAACAGTAAAATTGCTTAAAACAAAAGGTATACTGACAAATAGAACACTAGCACATAGTGTTAGTAATCCAAATCATTAAAAACTCACTACATAACAGCAGTTTCTAAAACCCCTACTAGGACTTGGAGTAAAGACGGAGGGCAAGAACTTCACCAGCGCTTTTATGCTATTTCTCTAACACCGTTTATCCTGACCAGCGAGCCCTCCATCCATCCAGGGACACTAGACTCCGAGACGCCATGGAATAACGTGCTCAATGTCCCCAGCCTTCTCCCATCTCCTCTGTTGCCCCGTGTGCCTTCCTTCGGCTCCTCACAAAGCCTGGAATTCCCCCACCCCCTCATCTTCCTGTTGTCTATTACCTGGTTCTTACCGGAAGCTCCCTTGGACTGTTGTATTTTCATGATGTTCCCCAAGAGCTGGCAGGGCTTATTTTTCTTCTAGTCGGGTACCCCTGGTGCCTGGGGTCATGCAATGTATGCATTTGGTCCTTGGCAAATATTTGTTGACGCCCATGACTACCTGGAGTCAAGATATAAAGGTGTAGCAGGTGGGATTGAGGGAACAGCCAATATAATACAAACAACATTAAAAACCCAGCCACTGGAGCCAGACTGCCTCTGAGCTCCGTTGCCCACGAGCTGAATCATCTTGAACTCCTTCCTCACCCTCTCTGAGTCAGTTTGCTCCTGTGTAAAAAGGGAGTGATGATGGTACTTACCGCGTAGAGGTGGTTGAGGGGGGAATGAGCTGAGTCATGTGAAGCACTCATGGTTTGCAGGTCATCAGACAAGGTTGGCTGTTATCACAATTAGCTGGTTTGTGCACTTTGCCTTCAAAATCACATAGGGTGGGAGGGCAAAGTCTGTCTCACAGACCACTGTGGTGCCAGCACAGTTTAGACGCACACACGCTATTGAGGATCCAGGATGATGTTTTGTAGCTATTTTAGATATACCCTCATTTTGTTTTCATCATGTCATTGTCATACAATGACAGACACAGAGATAAACGCCTTGGAAAGAAGAATTTATTACTCACTTTTCTCAAGAGAAGGGGCCATACCACCCCATGCAGGGCCACCTGGGGAAGCCCCGGGATTGATTGGGAGGCAGAAGGAGTGAGAGAAATGCATGGGTGAAGGCCTTTCTTACTACAACGGTGGGCAGTTGGCAGGTGGGCAGGTTCCCTATAGGAAGTTGGGGTGTGTGGTTGGATGCTTTGTAACATGAATCCCATGAGCTGGTGGAAACCCGGGGATAATACGGTTGTCAACACTTTTGGCCGCCGGCTTGGCCCCTGACTTCATCGTGCCAAACCATCAATTCCAGGAGGTCCGGAACACTTATGACAGCAGCTCGAGCCTCTTCCTCACTGTGGTTGCTCTTCCTTTGGTTTGCAATGACTCCGATCCTTTTCACCCATGTTTCTATCTCTTGGCATCTTCTTGAGGTGGCCTTACTGGGCCTTGGGTTTTATTTAGATCTCCTCTTCTTTGGCCCGTGTTGCTTCCTTTCCCTCTCCTACTCTCATTCTGCTTCCATTATAGCTGAAGAAAGATTGTCTCCGTTTTTCACCCCTTCTTGTGCAAACGAGAGCTGCTCCTTTTCACAGATTAGCGCAGAAACTTGGAAAACAGAGAGAAGCTAAGGCTGTGTTGCCATGTCAACCCAAAGCAGAGCCGACTTGTGAGCGCTGCACACTAATCGTTCTGGTTTGTGGACTGGCAAGGTCCTAGAAGACCGTTTTTGCCCACTGGGAAGTTGCGGGCAGTAATGGAGGAGCTCTGAGGCTGGCCCATCCCGGCCCTGGGTGAGCTGCTCGTGAGATCTGGTGAAATTATCTCACTGGCAAGACAGGACCCAACTACGGCCCAGCACCCTTCTCCCTTTCTTTCTTTTCAAAGGAGAAGCCCCACTTAATATCCACACCAGCCTGTGACTGGATAATTACAGGAAATCCTGGCTCCACTCAGCTGAAAAGAAAGAATTCTTAAGGAAGAATTTCAGGCTCTTTTACTGTTTCCCTTTGCCTTGTAGTCTGGCTCTGGGCCCTCATTTTGCTTCCTTTTCTCAGTGTTAGGGCTGTGTCCCTGACCCCTGCCCCATACCCCTGCCCCTCACCCCTGCCACCCTCCGTTTGGATGAACGCGAGACCTCTAATATGCAGCCTTCCACTCTGAATTGGCTGAAATTCTTTCCCTTTGGGGGACAAAAAAATGAGTATATTAATACTCTTAATATAATATTCTATAATATATATGTATATTACTATATAGCCTTTGCTTTACTATTTTATTCCCCCCCCACCTTTTTCTGAGGTGGAAAAATTTATCAGTAGGTATCAATCTCTCTAGCTTTGATTTCTGCTCCCTTTTCTGGGCAAGGGGAGGTTCTCACCTGATTACACCTTTAAAAAAAAAAAAAAACAGGGGCGCCTGGGTGGCGCAGTCGGTTAAGCGTCCGACTTCAACCAGGTCACGATCTCGCGGTCCGTGGGTTCGAGCCCCGTGTCAGGCTCTGGGCTGATGGCTCGGAGCCTGGAGCCTGCTTCCGATTCTGTGTCTCCCTCTCTCTCTGCCCCTCCCCCGTTCGTGCTCTGTCTCTCTCTGTCCCAAAAATAAATAAACGTTGAAAAAAAAAAATTAAAAAAAAAAAAAACATTTTTAGGTTTATTTGTTTATTTTGAGAGAGAGCAAGCGGGGAAGGGGCAGAGAGAGAGAATCCCAAGCAGGCCCCACGCTGGCATCAGCAGAGGCCGATGCGGGGCTCAAACTCACGAATTCCAAGATTATGACCTGAGCCGAAATTGAGAATCAGACCTGAACCCACTCAGCCACCCAGGCACCCCATCACCTGATTATACCCTTTAATGATAGTAGCAGAAGAAATGAGGAGACTCTTTCAGAGTTCTAGAGGGACCTCTTGATTTAGGTACACATAAAGCATAAAGACAGATTCTTTGAGCATAAAGACAGATTCACCAGGAGCCCTGGAATTTTCCTCACAATAATTGTCTTTCTTTGACAATTGTACTTTCCACAATTGGGCATCCTGTGACCTGCACGTCCCTTTTGCTTGAAGTGTCACGCTGCAGGTCTCAGCAGAAGGGACCGAGCAGAGCCGTGTTCGGTGCTTGGGGAGGGGAGCACACAAGTGACCGACCAACCCCATCCTGGTTCCAGCGACAGAATTGATTCCAGCATAGGCTCCAGATGGAGACACAGCTGTATCTTGCTATATTTGACTGAGGCAAATACAGTCAGATTTCATTTTCTCTGACATTTATTATTTGGGGGAAGGGCTGTCGGGGGAAGGGGCATTAGCCACAAATATGACAAGGTTAAAGGACAATGAGTCTGGTCTGAAGCATTGTATTCAGACGGTTGACATCCTAAGTTCATCAATCAATATTATTGACTTGGCCAAGCTTCAGGTTGGAGTAATCTCTATAATGCGATTTAGCCTGTGCCACAGAATGGTGTGTTGGGGATAAAATGTCGGAAGCCAGTCAGTCGTCTGTGAGATACATTTTGGGAAACATTCTTTATCTTAAAAATAGAACTTGAAGTGTTTGCAGCCAGGAAGATGCTTAATTAGATTCATATAGGAGCCACCAGCTGTTCATAAGACAAACAGAAATATCTGAAGTCTCTTCCGGTTCTGTGGAGACAGGCAAAATGGCTCCCCCTTTTCGAGTCAAATCTGAGAGACCCTTCAGTGAAAAGCTCTTCAGGCCTGAGTGGCCAAGCTTGGCACACAGAGGTCACGTTTTCCTCTTCCTCTGTCCTCTTGCTTTGCTCTCAAAACCTGAGGAGCTTTTAGTCACAACGGTACAATGTCCACAAAGGGATACTGCCGTGGAAAGGGCCACACTCCTGCATGCATGGCCGGCCGTATCCCCCAGCCTCCGGCCCACCTTCTCCCCCTCACGGTCTCAGAGTCCTATGCCGTCCTCACCAGATGGATTTCCGGATCTTGGTGATGCGGTTAAAGAAGGGTGTCGGGGAGACAGGGAGAGGATATACATGAAAGAAGCTGAGAGGCAGGAAGCGAGGTGGAAAGGCTTTTCCAGAAACTCTAAGTTGATCTGTGTGACCAAGATTTGGGAGCGAACAAGCGAGTATGGGGGGAAAGTCATGCAACTAGGACTGATTTGGTAGATCTGGCTCTTGAATTGGGGAAGAGAAAAAGGAGGCTGTGAGAAGTATGGTTAGGAGTTAGGAGTCTATCAGGAAGATTTGGGATGAGTTACCGGCCTCACGGAGTGCCAGGAGAAAGGGGCATTTGAAGCGATGGAGATTAGCCTCCCATTCGATGCGGGAAACTCTTTTAGGGCACGCCTGCAGAAGGGCCACCCAACCCTTACTTGGAAACTTCTGGTGATGGGAACTGTGGTCTTGCACTGGCAGTGTAGAAAAGGGGCTGAGAGCACAGATGTTAGAGCCAGACGGCCTAGGTCCAAACCCAGGGGCCACCACCTCCCGGTTGGGGCACCTTACGTACGATACCTGACATTCTGTGCCTCAGGTTTTGTAGCCACAAATCGAGGCTGGTGATAGCAGAGGGTAGTTATGGGAATTAATCTTACGTATGTCTGTAATTATTCATAAAGGATATTTATCACTTAGAACACTACCTGGTATACAATATATATCATATAAGTATTTACTATTACTCTCACTGCTGTGAGGTTGTTGCATGTATAAGAAAATTCTGTTTCAGATTGAGTGAATTTGGCTTCTCTGATTCCTGCTTATCCCATTTCTCGGCTCTGAAATAAGTCAAACCAAGGCTATTCTGCCTTCCACGTGGGTACCCACCAGACATCTGAAGATAATTATCCTGTCCCTCTTTGTTCTTCTTAGATTGTAGAAGAGAGCTTTTTGCAAATGCCGTTCCTTCTCTGTAGGACACCTTTTCCTCCCATGTTCTTTGTGTTCTAACTCCGATTCCTTCTTTAGGAAGCTTCTCCACATCTGAGTAATTTATACCGCATTTTAACCCTGTCCTCCGTGTATAAAGGTGAACATAGTACAGATTCTACTAGCTGTTTGTGTATGTCACCATTGTAGCATGTGCCTTGTGCGTCTCGGTAACCCAGCACATGGCACACGATGCTTATTGGACGCATCAGGTGGAATATGAAGGATGAACGCGTGTGAAGCAAAATGTGGCATTTCCCTGGAAGAACAGAGTCTTGGGAGCAAGGAGACGGGAGAAAAGAATGTTGGCTTTGTCAAACAATTACAGGAGGCAGGCATGCCCAGAATTCCATAAGCTGATAATTTTGTCCATACTAATTCCGTCAGAATGGAAAGTTTTTCTTGGATTCTTCATTGGCTGGTCACAGGTTTGCGGACTCTACAGTGTTGTGCAGAATCCTATCCGTGGGAGAGTTGAAAACCAAGAAATAATAACGCAAGAGAGGATAAGCGGGTCCAGATAATGAAGAAATAAGGCAGGGAGTGAGGATAGGGACAGCTGAGGTAGAAGAACCCACTGGGTCTGGATGTGGGCAGAAGGTTCTTCGGAAGAGGAGAGAGAGAAGACAGTGTTGGGCAGACGTCACCGGCAGGAGTGTCGTCTCAGGAGGCTTTTCTTATTTTTTATATTTTTTATCTATTTTTT